ATGCAGAGTCAGAGGTCAGTGCCCGGCCATGCATCCCTGCTGTGGGTACATGTGGGGGAAGCTGCAGGCTCAGTGAGGAGGAACAATCGATCAGCAAGGGCCCAATCCTTTCTCCGCCAGCCCTTTCAAAGGTCCAACACAGAGAATCTCTATGATGATCCAGCCCCAGTTTACCAGCCAATAAGGAGAGGCCAGTGCCTGGCTTGCTGAGGACAAAGCCCCTGAAAAAATACTCTCTATTTTTCCCCAGGAAGCAGATCTCTATCATTCTAGAGCCTGCTTGGGGGCTGGGGGAGGAGGGGGTGTCAACCCCAGGAGACATGCTCATTAGAAGAACATGTCTGCTGAGTGCGGACCCCGCAGCCTGAGGGTTCTGGCCCTCAGCATCTAGCTGAGAAAAGCTAGCTGGGATGTGAGAAGCAACATGAGACGTGTTCAAGAAGAATGCAAGCATGTCCACTAAGAGCCTTGGCCATGAATGCCTCTAAGTTGCTGTATATACACCCTGAGGAATGGGGACCCAGGGAGATGGTAGAGGGGAGAAAGAGCAAGGAGGGGGACAATGCAGAAAGAGCAAAGAAAAGAGGAAGGAGAAAAGTAGAGGAGAGGTGGAGGAGGAAGTGGTAAAGCCAGATGGAAAAACAGACCCAGAAAAGACTGGCAACTGCACGTTTCATCCGGGGAAATATGCATATGGTGTGGAAAGTCTGGCGAGTTTGTTGATCCCCAGCCTGGTGGAAAAGACTGGGGACCCTGAGAGCCTGTGCTCAGTGCCGCCCCCCTCAGCCTGCAGAGCTCTGGGGTGTTAGGAAAGGACAGGGTAGGAGGGCAGTCGCCACAGAGCCCAGCCTTTCCTCTCCTGCCTCAGATTCTGCCCTATGAAGTGAACATTCAGAGGGGTACCAGGCCTGTGCTGTGCCTATCACAGCAGCTTGGCACTGACTCCTCCTCGTGCTTGGAAACTATTAGCCTCCTTTATATAAGAGCAGGTGGAGGAAGCACAGAGAGGTTAAGTGGCTTGTCCAAGTCACACAGCTAGACAGCAGCAGAGGCGGCACTTGCATCTAGATCTGCCTGGCTCCCAGTTCAGTTCTTGTACGCTTCCCCTCACAGCTGCCCATAAGACCTTGCAGTGAAGGCCGCAGTGAGGAAATGCACAGAGCTGGGCCATTATAAACAGACCTTGTTCAACCCATCCCAGGTGCCTGGCCATGGGCTATGCTGGGGCTAGGTAGAGAACTCGTGGTCCTGCTCACTGGACTCAGGCTAGGAGGTGGCTCCCTGAGCCTTCTGGAGGAAGCTGAGCTTACCTGTCTGTCTTTCTCCCCACCAGGCTGAGCTCCCTTCAAGGAGGGGCTGGACGTGCCATGGGCCAAGTGCCCAGCAGGTCTCCCCAGGGCATCCAGAACCCATTGGACCTGCCCAGGAAGAGCACAGACCAGTCTTCAGTCCCGCTCAGGCCTTGGGGTCACTGGCTGCCCTCACTGAGAGAGCCTGTGACAAGGTCTAGAGTAGGAGCCAAGGGAGAGGTGCTAGCTGTCCAGGGGTTCCGAGGGGCTCGCGGCGGGCTGTGGAGTCCGGGCTGTGGAGTCCGGGCTGTGGAGTCTGGGCTGTGGAGTCAGGGTTTCGTCAGGCCCTGAAGGCTAAGGTTAGGCTGGCCAGAGAAGGGAGAAGGCATTCCAGGCCAGAAATGCACGAGCAAGGAGCGGGAGGTTGAAATGAGCAAGCTCAGCACCACCTCCTTCCTCTTGCATGGGAACTCTGTCATCTAGAATGTTCCACCTGGAAGAGACAGAGTGATTTCCAACACTTTCATAACAGATTGAATTTTTGCCAGGTCCATGTACCACCCATACCGTATTTTTCTTTGAATTGATTCATTATTTTTTAACTTAACTTTATTAGCAATAATATCTATGAAAGCATGAATTTGTCATGCAAGTGATATTTTTTCTAGTGCAAATTAAAATAAACACATAATCACTCAAATTAAAAGCTTTATCTCTGTACCACGTGAAGGAACCATGAGTGACCACCTGGGACTCCACCCTGAGAATCGCTGATGTAATCCTGAGGAAGAGTCAGATGCCCAGAGAGCCAGTGGGGCTTGCCTGAGGTCACACAGCCAGGAGTGACCGACCAGATATTATTGCTAATAAAGTTAAGTTAAAAAATAATGAATCAATTCAAAGAAAAATATGGTATGGGAGGTACATGGACCTGGCAAAAATTCAATCTGTTATGAAAGTGTTGGAAATCACTCTGTCTCTTCCAGGTGGAACATTCTCAGAGTTGGTTTCCTGATTCTGTGGCCGTGTTTCCTTTTGTTTTCCTTCCCTTGGAAACTCCATGTGAAGAAATGAGCCTGCCTACTTCTGTCCTGAGATGGGATCCTCAGGGTACATCAGGAGATTTGGCAGGAAGGAGAGGGAAAAATAATGGCAAAGTCGGGCCAGAGGCATGTTCATTTTACAGAGCATTTATAGAGTTCCTGCTGTAGTCAGGCCCCTGGCTGGGTGCTGGCTTGTGGCTCATTGGATGCATGTCAGCCAGGAGAGCACCTACTTGGGCTCCACGTGTGATGGTGTCCATTCATAGGGTTCCCCATAGGAGGCACCATCCTACAGCGAAGCCGGATGCCAGTGCAGGCTGCCTGCCCCGTCCTCGCCCACCCACTTGTGTGCATCTGTGTTCTCCGCTGTGTGTAGCACAGGACAGGCATGTAGTAGGAACCGTTGGTTTTGCTGGTTGGTTGGAGCCTGTGTCATGGTTGGTGGGCAGGAAGGGCTGGGGAGGGGCGTCACTCCATTCTCTAAAACAAGGGCTCTCAAACTTGAGTGTGCTTCTGTCTCGCTGCAGGGGATAGGAGCTAGATTTAAATGCTCATTTCTGGGCTCCATGCTCCAAATAATGAATTCAGTAGGTCTGGACTGGGACCCAGGAGTCAGCATTTCTAACGAATGATGTGGGGGAGGCTCAGAAACCTCCCCTACACCAGACGATTTTGATACGGTTGATCTGTCGGCCACACATCGAGAAGTCGTGCTCTAAAGGGTAGTCTGGCATAGGAAAAAGTCTCAGATTTCCAGTCAGAAGACCTGTGTTCATAGCCTTATTCATTAGCTGTGTGACCTTGGACAAGTCACTTCACCTCTCTGTGCCTGGTGATGACATATAGGACTAAGCAATTTCTGGGTGCACTTATGGATTAGAAGCCCTAGAGAGAATCAGAGGAGAGGATGACAATGGGTAGTCGTTTGCCTCCTTACGCATAGAGGGAGACATCGTCGTCCCACCTCTCACCGTCAGCAATGTTCTTTCTGAACACACAGCCTTCTCTGTCTGCCCCTCCTGGACCGAATTGAGCAGTTTCTGGTACACAGGAGGCAGCTCATACGGGTTTGGGGGTGGATGGTCTGCTCTGTCACATGGCACGTCCCTTGGAAGTGAAAGGACCCTACATCCTTTCTGGAAGGTGGAATGGGCATGTGTACCAACAGCAAGACACGTGTGACTGCCCTCATGCTGGTCTTTGCTCCTGTAGGGCTTTATTAAAAGAGTGCATCCTCTAGCACAGGGCCGGGCGCACAATTCTTAGAGACTCCTTTCCTCTCCCGGGATCCTGAGGGCGGCACTAGGGCTGGCCCACTTCCTGCATCCCTGGGGAGCAGCATCCCTCCCCAAGTCCCACCCAGGCCCTTTTGGAAACAGCGACCAGCCTGACTCTAGTCTCTCCTGGCCCCTCACAGATGTCCTGGCGTCCGCAATACCGCAGCTCCAAGTTCCGGAACGTGTATGGGAAGGTGGCCAATCGGGAGCACTGCTTCGACGGGATCCCCATCACCAAGAATGTGCACGATAACCACTTTTGTGCCGTCAACACCCGCTTCCTGGCCATCGTCACTGAGAGTGCGGGAGGAGGGTCCTTCCTAGTCATCCCTCTGGAGCAGGTAGGTGCCTGGCACCTCCCTAACCCTGGCTGCAGCCCCAGGGCAGAGAAAAGCCTCCTTGGTCACCACTGGGCCTGTTGCCCTTATTTCTCTCAGCCCCCCACCACCCATTACTTCCTCATCACGTGTCCAGTGGCTGTGCCTTCCCAAGGTTTTCCTGAGATTCACCAGAACAAATGCAGACTGGGATCCAAGAGACCTGAGGTCTGTTCCCAGAATTTCCCCAAAGGTGTGCACTTGGACGAGTCACTTCCCTCAGGGTATTTGGAGTTCCCATTAATCTGAGGGACTGGAACATCTGATCTCCAAGGCCAGGTCCAGCTCTACCATGCTGTGTCCTGGATGTCCTTTTGGTTTGGAGCTGGAAGGGGTGAAGACCCAGCCAAAGGCACACTGGACATCTTCAAAAATGGTCCACTCGCTAAAACAAAAACATTGCAAGCACTTCACTGAGAGACTGGTAATCATTTACTTTCTCCCTCACCCCCACTTTCCATCTAAAAGTTCTCCCCTCCTGTGGCTGCCTTTGTGAATATAGCAAATTAAATCTGCAAAGCCCAGATCATGAAATTTTGAAGCTCTGTCATTCAGGCAGTCCCTAGAGGCCCGTGGGAGGTCACGCGCCTCAGAAAAAGTGCTCGCTGTCAGTCCTACTTGTTTATGGCTGAGCTCTCCCTTCCTGTCCTGACTCATCTCCTCGCCCACCCTCCACCAAACTGCTCGGGGGAGGAGGAGGTGCATGGGGAAGGAAGCCTTGGTTCTTGAAATCCACCATCAGCTGGTGGTGGAGGATGGATTTTTCCAGTCTCCTACCCACAGCGGGGGAGCACAGATTTGAGAAAGATTTGGGCCAGGTCCTCCCTTCCACCAAAGGAGGCAGCTGTAATGACACTGAAGACAAAGCCTGAGTGAGGCACAGAGAGGTCTGAGAAGCAGTGGACTTGGTGGCAGGAGGTCTGGGTTCTAGTTGGACTCTGCCGCTTGCCAGCCCTTTGACATTATTTTCCTGTAATGGCACAGTGAGGATCCTAAATCCTCCTCCACCTGTACCCAAGATGTTGGCTTTGAGTGGGATAATGGACATGAAAACTTCTTGTGAACTACATGACACGTTTAAGATGTTTTGCTACTCCCTAGGGGGAATCGTCAGCTCAGCTCCTCAACTTTGCAGATGCCCTCAGTGGCTCTAACACATTTGGAAGGATTCCAAAATGTAGCTTGCCTCCCCTCCAGAACCAGATGGGTTCAGATACCTGTCTGCCTCAGGCACTAGCTCAGCTCCAGCAGCAGCAGGTCTGCACGTCCTCGGCAAAGTTCTTACTAGGGCTCAAGGGCATTGCTGGCCCCCTGCCATACTCCACTACACGGCTTGCAAAGGTCAATAGTCAATGCCTCACATAATAACAAAAGTTCATTGAAGATGGATTAAAGACTGCAAAGAGATAGGAAGAGAAAGGAAGGGAAGGGAAGGGAAAAGCTGCAAGTATGTTAGAGGGAAATGGAAAGCATTTTTAAAATTATGCCATGAGAAAAGACTTTCTAAGCAAGACGAGAATCCCCAAGCCATAACCGAAATGATTAATAGATTAGAATAATTTTTTTCAAAGTAAAGTTCCTGTACTACAATGAGACATGTAAGCAAAATTAAAGGAAACCACATAATTGAGTACAATAGTTAAAATATATAACAAGATACGTGTCCAGGATATATGAGGGTCCCAGAGAAATCAATAGGAAATAGAACCTAATAGAAAATGAGCTAAGGATATGAATAAGCAATTCTCGGAAGACAAAATATATCATTTAACCTGTTAAAGAGGAAAAGATTTAGAAGAGCAATGATCTTTCTTGTTGCCAAAGTTGTGAGAGAACAGGCACTCAAATGCACTCTTGGCGTATTTGGTGTATTACATCTGTGAGATGTACATGGAGGCAACTTGGCAATATGTATTAACATTTAAAGATGCATGCTCACTGGTCCAGCCATTCTACTTCTAGGAATCCATCCTACAGAAACATTCTCGAGTAACGTATTCTGCAATTTTAGTACTTGATTTTTTCACAAACATCAATTTTTTTTTAATCTTTTCCAATAAAAATCAAATGTCTCTCTCAAATCACAATAAATGTTTCTAAACTCTTCCTCTCGATTTCTGTAATGGTACCAAAAAAAGAGTTTTACGCTGTCAGTAGCACTGATATAAAATATGATCAGATTTTGTAAACACTTTATGGACAGCAGAAAAGAAAGTACTCTTTATAGAGTATAAGTTTCTATAGAAATATACAATGTATCTGTATATATACATATAAAGTCAATGTACACATAGCTTTTCAACTTTATTTGTTCACATTCTCTGAAATATTTCATTTAGTTTGATGAATAATGGACTGATAGTGATGGCTCACATCGCCAGTTAGGTTCTTTTGTTTTCTCTCATTTTGTGAGATTTTCACTTTACATACGCGATGGTTTGTGCAGCACTTTTATAATTGTGAAAACTGAAAACGACCTGCAGGTCCATACGTAAGGAACTGAGTGAACAAATTAGGGGGCAGCCACACAACGGGATACCATGCAGTCATCAAAACTGATGATGCAGGGCAGTCGCTCTGAAGTGTTCGGCCTCGGAATCACTTGATACTCTTACCAGTATTTAGCATATTCGAAATAAAAACGAAGAGATTTCAAAAACATGTATTTGTTAATTTACTTAAAATAATAATAATAAACCCATTTCATGTTCTCCCCCCCACCACAAAAACCTCCATATTTTTACAAAAAATAACTTTTTTGTCCAAAACAAAAAAAGTAAAATTAGATGAATGGCATTGTTTTACACTTTGGCAAATCTCTTTAAATTAGTTTGGTTATGGAAGACAGCAGGGTTTGCATGTCTGCTTCTGCACTGGTCCTGTTGAGACATCACACATCGTGCAGCCTCTGGAAGACTCCACTGTGCACCCTGGAGAGAATGAGAGGAAATGGCAAATAATGTCTTTGTATTATTATGAACATAGTTTTAACCCAACAGACTCCCAGAAAAAGTCTTGGGGATTCCCTGGAGGTTTCAGACCATACTTTGAGAATATTTAATCAGAGAAAACCATTTATGACATTATAGTTAAGGGGGGGAAAGGTAAAATATTTAAAGTCCCATTGAAAAATTACGTATCCATCTACCTGTTGAGACAAGACAGAAAGCATACACCTAATGTTAAAAGTGGTTATCTTCCAGTATTAAGATCGTGGGTGCGCTTTCATTTTCTTCTTTTTCCTTAGCAATATTTTCTAAATATTTTTTAGATGAACACTTAATACTTTGTACTTCAGGGGGGGAAATCTAATAAAAGCGGTTTGTCGACATTACGTGGCAGCCCCCGAGGTCTCAGAAGCCAGGCAGCCGAGCAGCCAGCTGGGTCTGGCACTCCCGTATGTATGTCGCAGATGTTTTCTCCCGGATTAACACATGCTTACGAACTCGCTGGAGAAATGCTAACTTAATGGAGGTATACATAGTGAGGGCAAGGGGTGGCCGTGGTCAGGAGCGGGCGGTGGTTCTGGATGGCTGGGAGGATGAGGTGGCTCCTGGTTCTGAACGGTTCATTTAGTTTGAGACAAGACCCCAGATTCTGTGGAGCAGGGTCCTGCCCCCAAAGAGGGTCTGCTTTGGCATCAGTGCCAACCCCCCCAACCCCCACCACCACCACCACCACCACACCCACACACACACACACCCACACACACACACTTCTCCTGCTGCCTGGGCCAGGGCTGTAGGTCTCCTGCCCACTGTGCTGAGGCTGGGCTTGCAGTCAACGGCAGGCAGCCAGGCTGGTGGGGGCGGGGAGGCAGGGCTAAGAAACAATAACAATAGTGCCGAATCCAAAACCCCCTCATTATCTCAGCAGAGATGAGCTGTTCCACACTGGCCGATTTGCTGGGAAGAAGATTATATTATTTCAGCTCCAGATTTTCTCCCTCAGTTTGATAGAAATCTCCCTAAAAACAGTTTCCTGTGTATTCCATTCAAATACAGAAAAGATTCGGGTTGTTTCTTGGTGAATCCTAATGATTGCTTTGAGCGTTAATTATGATCCGTGAACTCGTGTGGCACACTTTTGTCTCTCTGCTACATTGTCCCTACAATGGCTCCAGACTGTTTTCCTGAGCAACAAGAAGGCCCAGAACCCTGTCTGCTTTTGTTGTTCTTTTCTGAATTGTTTTTCATCTACTGTTAGGTGTCCTTCCCATTCCTTTCTTGCTTCTCTGAGAAGTTTGGGCCAGAAGAGACCAGCAGTAGCCCAGGACCCCTAAATTCTTGAGCCTTCTGAGAGAGACTCCCACTCTTCCAGGGAAAGTCTCTCTCTTTATTCCATTTCTCTCAAAGCCAGTTTGCCTGAGATTTCAATATTTGTGAGTAAAATCTTTTCTCCAGGGTAGGAAGCCCTGTCCACAGCAATTCCAAACAGTAATGTTGTTGCCTTGCCTTTGTCCAGCACTCCGATCCAATGAACTCTGCCTTAATCTATCCCCTTGGGTGGTAGGTAGAGCTATCCCCATTTTACAGCTGGGGTAAGTGAGGCTGCAGAGGCAGGTGTGGAGCTGGGCAGTGCAGGAGCTGGACCTGAAACCAGCTCACTTATTTCTGAATCCATGACTCCTTCCACAGCCCACGATACTGGTGAATGGCTGAGTTCTGGCTGGCTGGCAGTTCTCAAAGGAGTGGATTTGTCTTCCCCGGCCTTTTGCTCGGGCTGCTGTTGTAAAGGCCAGAACCTGTTTTTTCCCTAGTTAACATTCAACTGCCAGCTCTCTCCTCTCTCGAGTGGAATGTTAAGCTGCAGATGGGGGAGCAATCAGCACCCTGATTGCCTGGCGCAGCTGGAGGAGCCTTATGAATATTCTGGAGACCAGGTACTGTGCCCAGGCCTGATGAACCACTTGAACCGCCCCTTTCCTGCTGCACTCTGGGAGGGCTGCCTGTCACCTCCAGATC